ATTAATATCTGGACATAATTCACCATATAATGGCTTGACAGACTTCTTAAAAGTCTCTTAAAGATGTTTTTTTAGAATGCTTTTGTGTCAAAATTTACTTTGTTTGATATGGATTTTTGTTTGTTTGTTTGTTTGTTTGTTTGTTTTCCTAAGACAGAGTTTCTTTGTATTGCTTTGTAGCCTGTCCTGGAACTACCTCTGTAGACCAAGCTGGTCCAGAACTCACAGAGATCCACCTGCCTGTGCCTCCCAAGTGCTGGGATTAAAGGTATGCAGCACCTGGCAACATGGCTTTTTGTACATGGACATCTTGAGAAGACATTACGTCCACTTAGAAATGCACAGAAAATTACAGCATAGAGGCCTAGATTGACATTTTAAAAACAGAGGAACACTTCAGGAAAATCTAAGTGTGTGTGTATTATTATTAGCCAGTTCTCCTCAATAGAAAGTGGTCCCAGCTGTGAGTTAAAATGTTTTCTAATAAGATAAAAGAACACTTTATGAGAATGCAAACTGAATGATAGTTCTCACAGTTAACACAAGAATGTCAGCATCCAAAATCATCCATAAAGTCCGAGATACAGTGTGTTTTGATTTTTAAATTGTTTCCCATTATTTATTTGTGCATATCTGCACATACATTTATCTCTGTCTCTGTGTGTTTGCACATACATAAGCTAGTATGTTTGTGTATGTGCGTGTAGGTAGCACTGTACATAAGTGAAGGTCACAGCAAAATTCTAGGAGTTTCCTTGCACTTGCACTTTGTGAGAGTCTGGAATCAAACTCAAATTGTTGAGAACAGATTTCTGGTGCCTATACCTCATGATCTATCTAGATAGAATATATGCTTGGTGTTACATGGTACTTTCTCAAATTAGGGTATTGGCATTTATTTTTAAAACTTGTCTACATTTTGAAAACTTCATATATAAGAACTGCAACATTATCAATCTATACATCTGTTACAACAATCTTTTCTTATGCTTTTTCTATTACTTTTTAATGGTGTGTGTGTGTGTGTGTATACACAATGCTCTCTTTCTTGCACACACACACACACACACACACACACATACACACATATATTACCTATTGCTCACATTTAATGTTGCTTGCATGTACATGTATCCAGGAATGATCACTTTATATACTTTATGCTATTATCTGGCAGCTAGTTTTTGTTTGATATACACATTGTAATTACACATATTTGTGCAAAATTCTGATGTTTTGATTGCATACGTATATCAAGTCAGTGCAATCTACCTATTCAGCATCCTAGGCAAGTTTCTTTTTATGGAGGCAACACTGAGCTCATTTGATATTTAGCAACAGCAGTGGGGCAAAAACCAAAAGTCCCACTGCTCTCTGTAGTGCCTGAGAAATTTTTTTCTGAAATCTCTCAGATAATGCTGGAAGTCTTGACTTCCCTGCAGCAAAGAATTGTCTAATGTGTCAGTATGAGGCAGAGTTGGAATTTATTTAGTAAAAGTTTCCGCACAGATTTAAAGAAAATCTTGGCAGAGAGAAGTACTCAGACAATAGGTAAACCAAACCTAACTGTGGGTATTTCTCAAGTGTCCCAGCAAGTGTCTTTATAAGGGTTTCTGTGGCTTCTGAGATTTCATTACAAATCCTTCAAATGGAAACTTCTATCTTATCAAGCTGTTAGGGGCTCATTGATAGGTTTAATGAACTTAGACACAGATCATTATGACTTTAACCCTTTATTTGGAAACATCTCTGGATAAAGGAATGGTATTTTCTTTTATATTGGCAATATTTAGATCAAATGACATATTTTTCATGTACACTTTACATTATGTTAACTTTATTGCCATTGCTGTGCAATAGCTCTCTAAAACTGGGTGATTTATAAATAGATTTCTGATAATGCTCCACAGAGGACGTTTTTGAGTCTTCCAGGACATACATCTTTAGTTCAACTTTATTACCTCTCTGATGGCAGAGACATTTAATTTTGTTTTACATAAGGGATCAATTTCCCTGGAGCTTAATTTATAAAAGAAACTCTTTGCTTATGAGAGCTGTTTAAAATCTCCAGTGCTGGTGAGAAATGTCTCAGGTTTGTTCACAAACACAGGGCTCTACTTACCCAAACTTGGGAATAGACACAGTTTATTGAGTAAATTCATTTAAAAAAATCTATATAACTTTTCTGTCTTCTAATACAGATTGCACCTGAGAACACTTCAACTTTACAATTGTCAGGGAACATTTGCTTGATGTTTTATGGAGAGACAGTCTATGATAAATTAGAATAGATTCTTCTGATATCAAGCATTTTAAGCATGAATAATTTCAGACTACAGAAATGTGATGTAGACTTTTATCTGTTTGTCTCTCTATCTCTGCCTCTTTCTTTCTCTCTCTCTCTCTGTGCTGGGTGTGTGTGTGTGTGTTACTCTCTACTTGATTCTACCAACTTACTTCATGAAAGCTATAACTTATGGCAAAGGATGAGCTTATTTTTGTCATAGAAAGTGCTGATCATAGTGTTGAATTGTCTCTATAAACTACTTGTGCAATTATGTTGTGTGAACTTTGTTTCATTGGAAACAAAGACAAGTATTTTGTGCTCAATTTAATTTTAATTTATCAAAAAGTGTTACTAGCAGAAAACATTGCACACCTTTTTTCTCAATTTTCCAAACTTATAGAGAAATTTTTCCTAATAGTTTTTCATTGCCTTTCTTTTTCTATTGTTTTTCTTCTTTTTGTCACTAAGAAACATATTTAATGAATATTTTTTAATTATATTTGCTTTTTTGGGGGGAACTATATTTTAGTTATATTTTTCCTTACATGCCCTTTCATATACTTCTCCCAGATCTCCATCTATAGCCTCTACTTTCACAAATTGTTATTGAGTACACACACACACACACACACACACACACACACACACACACACACACACATATATATATATATATATATATATATATATATATATTCCTAAATATAACCTATCTAATTCATATAGAGTTATTTACATGTATGCTTTCAGGGCTGATTATTTAGCATCATACAACCAATTCCTGACCACTTCCCTGGGCAAGAATACCTTTCCTGCTTCAGCTTTACTCAGCTGCCTATGGTTCATTATGTAGGGTTGAGGCCTTGTAGGCTTTTCTTTGTCCAGTTACTATGTTTGTTAGTATCTTTCCTTCCTTTCTGCCTTTGTTAATTCCTTCATTCCTTTCTTTTTTATTTTTATTTTTTTTATTTTAGTTTTTGAGATAAGGTTTTTCTCTGTACCTCTAGCTGCCCTGGACTTGCTTTGTAGACAATGCCTGCTTTGAATTTATAGAGATCCACCTGGGGTTAAAGATGTGCAACACCACACCAGGCTTCTCCTACTCTCTCTCTCTCTCTCTCTCTCTCTCTCTCTCTCTCTCTCTCTCTTTCTCTCTCTCCTCTCAATTACTCTTTCTCTCCTTTTCTCCCTCTCTCCCTCTCTTTCTCTGTCTCTCCCTCCCTCCATCTTTCTCTCTTTCCTCTTCTTAATTGACAAAGAAATAAAGACAACATGACCTTAATAGTTTTCTATTTCTTTGAAGTTAGTTGAAGTTAGTTCAAGATGGAGAAAAATGCCATACTCTTCTTGTTTTGTTTGTCAGTTTACTTTGTAGTACCAAAAAAAAATAAATGTGCATATTTCTCATTTGTTCTATTTCAGAAATTCAGAGAATAAAGTAACCTCCACTGTGGGAAAGAGATTTAACTTCACTACATATATTTCCACTGCTTTGAGTCAGCTTCTTTTCCCTACAAATTACTTAAGAAAACTGGAGAATTAGCTATTTACTTCTTTTCTATGTAGGTAATTATAATTTAGGATATCTATATGACATCACATATTATATACTATATATAACATAAACCTATGTTATTAATATGCCTACATTTATGTCCTTGCATGTTATAACACTTCTAGAATTAATCATGTGTAAGATATCATTTATGAAGTATGTGCTAGTTTTTCAACTTAAATGTACTGCTGAATCATAATTAACAATTCTTCCTTTGACAGATTTTTGTATCATATCCTGTAAATACTCTAATATAATTTCATAAATGATTTCAAATAACTTAAATGTTGTTATAATTGATGAAAGAGTGAGGTTAAAAATCTTTAGAATAATTAAACTTTTCAATTTTATCTGTTGTCATAATAAGATTTTTAGTACAGTTTTAAAATTAATTTTCTCAAAAACATGTGACTCATGTCAAATATGTGTCATTTGACTCATGACTCATGTGTCTGAGTATTATAGAGCTTGGTTGTAGTGAATCAAGTAATTTTGCTTGAGAATAGAGTTATTTTGGAATTATCAAAATACATTTGAGTACATTTTTTAAAATCATTTCATGAAAAACATTTGGCTCATGTGTCTGAATTGTAGTCAATCATGTAATATTATTTGAGAATAGAGTTATTTTGGAATTACCATTTAGTTATTTAAAATTACTGTTAATTTTTGTTATTATTAAAATTTCAAGGCATTAATTTGAGATGAAATTGTAGGTAATTTTGCTTCAAATTTCAAACTATTAGAGAGAGTGAAAGTAGTATATCTGTGTATATGACATAGTCAAAATATACCACCAACACCAAGGTCAGATCTCAGTGATGAGAGTAAGTCTGCATAATATGTTATATTATAGCACTGAACATATTTTAGACAAAATCATACCCCCATTCTCAGATATCTGCTTAACTGTATTTTGGATGATCCTGGGTAGTAATAAATTGTGTAAAAAGGATTTGCTAAGATGTATTTTTTGTATGAATCTGAACTACCCAATATTTTTAAATTTTCATACTTCTCTTTTGCTTGTACTCCAAACATATGTTCTTGATATTAATTCTCTATTTTTTTCTGTAGTTAACATAACTTTCTTATATTCTGTCTTTTTCTCTTCCAAGAAATAACACAAGGCTTTTCCAAAACTGCCATGTTGCAGTCATGAGTGAGGTAAACTGCACCACTAGAGCAGAGTTCATTCTTCTTGGTTTTTCTGATGTCCCTGAGCTGGCATTCTTTCTCTTCCTGGTGTTTGTTCTCATTTATGGAGTGACAGTCATAGCAAACCTGGGCATGACTGCACTGATTCAGGTCAGCTTTCAACTTCACACTCCTATGTACTTTTTCCTCAGTCACCTGTCCTTTGTGGATTTCTGCTACTCCTCCACCATTGTGCCAAAGGTGTTCACTAACATCATTAATGAGGAAAAAGTTATTTCTTACATGGGCTGCATGGTACAATTTTATCTATTTTGTGCTTTTGCAGTCACTGAGGTATTTTTGCTAGCTGTGATGGCCTATGACCGCTTCGTGGCCATTTGTAACCCACTACTGTACATGGTCATCATGTCCCCAAAGCTTCGTACAGTACTAGTGTCTGGCTGTTACCTCTATGGATCACTTTGTTCCATGATTCACCTTTGCTTAGCCCTTGACATCCCATCATTCAAGTCAAATGTGATTAACCACTTCTTTTGTGATCTGCCTCCTCTCTTAAGTCTTGCTTGCTCTGATGTTACTGAGAATGAGTTATTTCTGTTCATCATTGTCAATTTCAATGAGATCCTCACCATTGTGATCATCTTTGTCTCCTATTTGTTTATTCTTATCACCATCCTGAAGATGAATTCAGCAGAGGGGAGACGCAAAGCCTTTTCCACCTGTGCCTCTCATCTCACAGTCATCATTGTCTTCCATGGAACAATCCTTTTTATTTATTGTCAGCCCAATTCTGGAAATAGTCTAGATGTTGATAAAGTAACTACAGTATTCTATACTGTGGTCATTCCCATGCTGAACCCCCTGATATATAGTCTGAGGAATAAGGATGTGAAAGAGGCTCTCAAAAAAGTATTGCACTCTAAAAGGAATTCTTTCCTAGAATTTTTTTCTTAAGAAAATTTAAGGAGCATTGTATGTAAAGACCCATGTATTGGCAATCAAATGAGCTAAATATGGAGCAAAGAAAATTAGCTATTACACAAGGATAATTATTAATGACTCAGTATGGACATATATTTTTGAGTTATCTGTAAAAGTAGAAATGAGGGTTTTCAAAGGTTGTATTTATGTGTTGTTCTTTATTTTGTAGTATTTTAAACTGATACAAGTTATAATATGCTACAAGTACCATGTTTCATTATTACAAATCTTTATTACAGCATAATTTGTGGGATATATAATCCATTTAAAAATTGAATACTCCCTTAACCTAGACACAGGAGAGAAGTCCTAGTCCCTACTTCAAATGACTTGACAGATTTACATGACCCCACCTGGATGGCCATGTGGAATGGGGGTGGGAGGATGGGAGGGGAGGGTGGTCAGGGTGCATGTGAGGGGGGAGAGAGGGTAAGAGGGAGGGAGGGAGAGATGGAGGGAGGGATAGGGAACTGGGATCGACATGTAAAATAAAATAATAATATGAATAAATAAATGCAAATTAACATCTGATACTTCACAATGAATAATAAAACTTTGTGAAGTAGCTTATATACAATTATCTGGAGTTTATACGCTAGTATATATCGGATACACATTAGGCATTTTGATGTTTCCTTTACTCTTTGATATTACAGAGTTACTCTGTACCTTTGGAGGTAGTCCTGGAATTCTTTCTTAAACTACACTGGTTTTGACCTCACAGATATCCACCTGCCTCTGTCTCCCTACTGGTGAGATTAAAGGTGTGATCCACCACTGCCTGGCTATATCACTGTATTATTTTTAGAGCTTCATTTAGTATATATTTGGAAAAACTAAATGTAAGAATAATATTTATTCACAAGAATCCAGGAAATATTAATTACATGTCATAACTCAAGGAGCTATGGGTCCATCTTAGTTTATAATCCTTTGTATTATTTGCCTTTGTGTTTGACTGTGTTGAGCTTAATTATCATTGGCTTATTTTATCATTACCTGTATTCATGAGTTATCACTGACTTCTTCATACTATATCTTAAATCCAGTGATAGTGAAACATCCACTTCACCTTAAGTGCATCTCCCATCTGTTAGTTTTTTGCATATATACTTGACCTAATAAAATATTCCTTTTGTTCTCTTTATAACTATCTAACCTATGTACCTTTGAGCAGTCTTGATTCATGTTTCACTTCTACAACCCAGGATGATTTATAGCAATTTCACCTTAAGTGTACTTGTTAAAGTAAAACATTTATCCAAGTATCTATATAATGTTATAATATAAGTTGGATTAAAATTAAGAAATCAAAAATTTGTATTTTCACCTTGATTATTAACTTCATAAGCAATTTACTTCTTCAGTCCTTAGTACTCTCTGTGTTAACATTGCTTGTCTCTGTTATCTTCATGGTTCTTCAGGACAGAGAGCAACCTCCATTGAGAGGTTTTGTGGACACTTGAACACTTGAAAATACTCTGCATCAAAACAATATAGGATATTTTTGTATTTTTGTTGCCCTTATTCTGCACACCTTAGACACAGGTTCCAGAAGAATCTTCGTGAATTTAACTAGACTAGCAATATTTTTGTTGTAAATATATATATAAATATAAATATATATATATATATATATATATATATATATATTCTATCCATATTTCTTTAGGGACTAGGAGAACAAATTATCTGATGAATGTGTACTCCTATTATACTTAACAAATATGAAGAAATATTTTTCTTTAATAACTTTAGTACATATGTAGCCAAATGGCCAGTAGATCTGAGGTAAAACACAATCATTTCTCTACTTTTGTAAGTATAATAAGGTCACAGTTAATCTCTGAAAAGACAGGAGACTCTTCCAAAGAACTGCAGCTTTCCTTCACATTTTCTATGCAAAAGCAATTATATCATAAAAGAGTATTTAAGTTTAATTGTTTATCCTGAAGTCCCAAGAGAATACGACAGTCAATTATTTCTTGAGCATAATGCCAGGGGGATCAACAGTAGGCATAATAATAGAATTAACATCTCCTTCATATAAGCTTTCTCTACAGAGGCAGGAAGGGACTGCATTTACCATCAACAGGTTTGTCTTCAGGTCTTAGAAAATATTGGTAATATTTTTCATGTGACTTATGTAGAATACAAGATGGCTTTTTATCATTACTTTATGAGAAAATTATTTTCGAATTTTTGAGCCATTAAAGCCATTTGAATCTGGACATCCAGAAACCAGAAGTCTACTCTGTTAAAAGTTTTATTGAAAGGACCTCATTCAGTTATATGCATGTATTCAGAGAAAGACAGGCATGAATGTTGTCACAAATATATATATATATATATATATATATATATATATATATATTTATGTATGTGACAATTTACAATAATTTATAGTTCAGGTAGACATTTAAATTATTGAATCAAAATATATAAAGTGTACATTCTAGAAAAAAAAAACACAGACTTTAACAGATCTTTACATTTTCCTCACAGACGTGGAGGCATTTAACGAATATTCTAGGTGATTTGTAGGGAAAGAAAGAAATGTGTAGAAAAGACACACCATTGTCATTGTTTGTGAGCTTTTACAAGGGAATTCCCTTCCTTCCAATCTCTGTGTTTAGCTCAGTATAGATATTCAGAATATCTTTGAAGCCATTATCACAATCATTGAACACTTTTCCATAATTTATAAATTAAATATAGCAAGTAAAGATAATCTAAAAGACAATTAAAACAATTGAGAAAATTGTGCAAATTGAACTTCATCATTTCACAAATTGAAATATTTCTGTAATGCAAAATACCATTTGATTGACAATGAAAGAAAGACCTTAATGGACTTACAAACTTTTTCCTATTAAAACAGTTTTGATAAGTTTCACTTTGCTCATCAGCAATAAAAGGCAGCATGAAAGATAACACAACTTTACATTAAGAGCAGAAACAATCATTGCGACACTTATTAGTACAAATAATATAAATTTTACTGTGATTACAATTGACATGGGAGATTTTATGAGAACACAACATCCAAAAATCTTACTATAAAGTAGCTCTTATGGGTGATGTTTTCTAAACATCTTTGTTTCATGGAGAATTCCAGGACAATTTAGTAAATTATTTCATTTGGCTGATGTTTAGGAGAAAGAACTTGAAATGTCAGTAAGAATTTGAATGCTGATCATATTTTTATGTATGTTTCTTAATTATTATATTGAACAATAATGATTTTAAATCATACTTAGGAATGTGATTAGAACCATGTACTCATTCATCATGCACTAATATTTTAATTTCTGAATCTCTATTTATCCTTCCTTGATGCTTCAACCTTTCAAAATCACAAAAAGGGATGTATTTTGTTTCATTTTTAGGCATACAGACAGCTTGCTAGGCATGCTTCATGTGTGAACCTGTCTTCCTGTCTTATTCCCAAATTCAATTTTCAGACTTCACCAGAAGGAATCATGTTTCTATCAGACATAAATCTAACTTCCAAGGTCACATTCACCCTCTTGGGTTTCTCAGATTATCCAGAACTGCGGGTTCCACTCTTTTTGCTGTTTCTGGCAATCTACAGCTTCAGTGTGGTAGGGAACCTGGGAATGATTGTGATTATCAAGATTAACCCGAAACTGCATACTCCCATGTACTTCTTCCTCAGCCACCTCTCCTTTGCAGATTTCTGCTATTCTTCCATCATCACTCCCAAAATGCTGGTGAACCTAGTTATAGAAGACAGAACCATTTCATTTTTAGGGTGCATAATCCAATTCTTTTTCTTCTGTACATTTGTTGTCACTGAGCTGATTCTGTTTGCTGTGATGGCCTATGACCGCTTTGTTGCTGTCTGCAACCCTTTGCTTTACACGGTTGTCATGTCCCAGAGGCTCTGTGCCTTACTGGTGCTGGGGTCATATGCATGGGGTGTAGTGTGCTCCTTGACACTTACCTGTTCTGCATTAAAATTATATTTCCGAGGTTTCAACACCATCAATCACTTTTTCTGCGAATTGTCCTCCCTAATAGCCCTCTCTTGCTCTGATTCTCATATCAGCCAGCTACTCCTTTTTATAGTTGCCACCTTCAATGAGGTAGGCACACTATTTATCATTCTCACATCATATTTGTTCATTATTGTCACTGCCCTGAAAATGCATTCATCTAGTGGGCACCGCAAGGTCTTCTCCACCTGTGCTTCCCACATGACAGCCATCACCATCTTCCACGGTACCATTCTATTTCTCTACTGTGTGCCCAGTTCCAAGAACACCAGGCACACTGTCAAAGTGGCCTCTGTGTTTTACACAGTGGTGATCCCCATGCTAAACCCCCTGATCTACAGTCTGAGAAATAAGGATGTCAAAGACACAGTCAACAAAATGATGAATGTAAGATATTTTTCTCAGTGATTCTAAGCTTTAGCATACAGTTGTGTTATTGTGTTTCATTTTTGAATAAATTAAATGTCCATTAACAAATCATGTTTTAAATTTCTTTATATTTTTTAAAGCAGAGATAAGTTTTTCAGTGAAATAAATAAATATATTTCATATATATATATATGATTCAATTTTCATTCTTATGATTTTAAAATTTTACATTTGAAAAATATATAACCATGTTGGTTTTATAGTTTTTGGTCATATTTTCATATATTTAAATTGAACCAATATTGAACTGAGGAAGTGGATCAATGGCTAAGTATGGACCCTCTATGCTCTCTTTCAGATTCACAGCCTCTATTTTTTATTAATCGTTACTATATACATATGCATTATGCATATGATTTTTAGTAATTCTTATCATTGGAACTGTCTATATTCATAGTTGGAGTTTGTTTAATGGAGTCACTTGAAAACTCTCTGTATCAGGGCTTTTTTTGACAGCTGTCAACACATTTAGACCTAATTGCCTTGCTGCATATAAAAAGTGTATTAAATTTTTACTTCCTTTTTTTCAATTTTAATTGACTTTTTTGTTGTTGTTGTTGTTGTTTTTAGTTTTTCAACTCAGGCTTTCTATGGGTATCCCTGGCTGTCCTAAACTAACTTTATACATTATACTGGCCACAAACTCAAGAAAGCCACAAACCTCTGCCTACCAAATCTTGAAATTAAAGCCACATGCCACCACTACCCAGTTTAAATTTTCACTTTTAATTTTAGCCTATATGGAGAAAAGATCAAGAATATTGTTTATGGTAGTAAAGGCTGATATTCCTATAATTACTACAACATTTTTATTTAAAATTCTCCAAGAACTTCAGGAACCCATTCCCAATGGAGGGATACTCCCTAAGCCTAGAGAAACTGGGGAGGGCCTAGGCCCTACCCCAAATGACTTGGAAGACTTTGATGATTCCATCATGGAAGGTCTCACCCTCCCTGGGGAGTGGATGGGGGATGGGATGGAGGGATCTGTGGAGGGAATGGCAGGAGGGGAGGGAGAGGGAACTGGGATTGATATGTAAAATAAAAAAATATTAAATAAAAATAATCTCCAAGAGTGAATACTAGATTTGGAATTTTATATTTATCTTTCATTAGATTGCCTTGCATTTCTGGTGGATTGCATAAAATATATTTGTCTTGTACTTCACATTTCCTATGTCTGGATCATAGAAGTGTGAAAATATTTCTTTTCTTTTCTTTTCTTTCTTTCTTTTTTTTTTTTTTTTCCAATGTTCTGTACACAAACTAGGTTGGCCTGGAATTCAGAGATCTTCCTGTCTCTGTGATTCAAAGTGTGTGCCACCAGCTTTTTCACTTTTTCAATTGATTGATTGCCTGCCACAATAGTGGAAACATAATAGAAAGCTTATGTTATTTTTTCTTAAAATCAATAAAATGATAATGAATTACCACTTTCAATTAATGAATTATTATTTCTTTCTGCATGAACAGTGAGTATGTGTTTTCTTTAAAAAAAAAAGATGATGACAATTAAGCTTTCACTCTGGTAAATCATATTTTGAAAATATCAATTTAGTTTTTAAGCTCTTGCAATCAAGGCAGACATTTAGACATTGCCTTTGTAAACAAACATCTTTAGCAAACAGATACTGAAAATAATGGTATTTTGAGGAACCTGTGACAGGACAATAACTAACATATAGACCTTGATTTACTTTTATGGATTCAGTTTATATTCCTATGACCCTTAATATATTTTATTTGAAAAAACACTGAAAACAATTTCAAGTGTAAACATGGTAGTTTCATCATTTCTATTCATATTTTTATACATTTAAATGGAACTGGAGAGATGGCTCAATGGTTAAGAGCACTTAATGATCTTACAGAGACCCACCCACATGGTGCCACATAACCATCTGTCCCTCTACTCCTCAGCTATCTCTTCTCAGCACTTCTGATACCAGACATACATGTTATGAAAGTACATACATGCAGCCAAACTTTCATACACATAAAAATAAAAACAAATGAATCCTAAATTAAAAATATACAAAGTTTTCAGCATATGTCACAATTATTTTATGGTCAACATGATTAAACAAAAATGAACTTATGTTAGATTTCACAACATTTCTCCTGCCTATGACACACACTTAAATTATATCTACATTCCTTTGTTCATTTCTTTTGTTAAACCCATGAATATAAACTGCATGGAAATTGATGCTTACTTACTTTTACTCACAAGAATTACCATCCTAGCTATGATTGCCTTTTGAGAATACATTGGTCAGAAGACAGGATTCTGACATTGACCTTGCCTAGTCAGTTGGTCAGCCCAGAAAGAAATGTTTGCAGACACAAGCTGTCTGCCCTGAAACAGACAGTTCAAGGAAAAAGTGCAGAACCACCCTAGCACCCTAAGGCTCCATCCTAAACCAATGGAAAGAGTAACCATTGAACCACTCTAGTGCCTAATGGATACAAGCAATTCTCTCATTCCACCCTTGTAAGTACTCACAGGAACCCCTTTTCCTGTGAAGCAGTGTGCATCCTTCACAATTTAAAATGAATTCTCCAGTCTGTTGTAATCAGTTTCTAGTCTCTTTTCTATTTCAGTCCTGTCACATTGCCTCAGAAGTCTGAGTATTCTAGTCCTTTGAAGCATTTCTATTAAATAGTTAAGTATCAAAAACTGTTGAGGGCTGTTGAGATGACTCAGCAGTTAAGAGCATAGGCTCCTTTTTCAGATACCTGGGTTCAGTTCCCAGCACCCACATGGCAGCTCACAACTATCTGTAACTCCAGTTCCAGGAGATATGATTCCCTCCCATGCACCTATGCACATAAAAATATAAACTCATAAAATATGTCTTGAAATGAATTCATTAGTCAAATCTATTACCTTTTATTAATATTCTTTTAAGTTGGAAAAAATAATGAAATGTGGATATTTAGTTTTGAAAAATTACTCAGGATTCAATATATGATATTTTTTAATATTTTAAAACAAGCTTGAAGACATGTTATTTCAATTTAAAATAGCAAGCAGCATAAGAAGAGATTTGTATCAATGTTCTTATGTCTTGTAATACAAAATTCCAAAAATGCAAAAGTAGAATTAATATTGGATATCACACATATGCAGCTGCCAATTGTAACAATTACCTAATTTGTTCAAGAATATTAAAATCTCAGCAGTCAGAAATTGAGATGAAATCCTTATAAATCCAAGAAAAGCAGAGCAATTGGTTGTCCCTCTCTCTACATTCCTCCCTTCCCTTCTCCCTGCTTATAAATTAACTGGAAATTCTCCCTCCAATCTTCCTGCCTTCTCTAGCTACTCTCCTAAATCCTCTAAGAATTTTATGACTAATTCTTCCCAGACAATTGCTGATTCTGTCCTTTGATTCAAGGTTGTTTTGTTGGCATAGTGGATTGGATGTAGGGAGAGTTCTCTTACAACGCACATATGTAACTAACAAGAAATGTAATGTATATAAACTGAGTGATTAACCTTATCATAGGAACTTATTCAAGATGAGAGCTCTCAAGGATCATAACGACAGATAGACGGACAGATATTACAGTTTAGAAATAAGAGAGTGGATGAAGAATATAATATAGAAGGAATCAATCAGCCATTCATCAATACATGAAAAAATGTCCAAGAATGCATCAATGTTTCATGATTTCATGTATAATAATATAGAAATATAAAACCTAATTTACCTGGGATTAAAACTAAATTCTTCAAAGTTGCTAGAATGAAATGTGTGTGTGTGTGTGTGTGTGTGTGTGTGTGTGTGTGACTTTGTTTTAGTAAATACAAAATGGAACCAGAATAAAGTTAAGAAAGCAATTTTGTGTTAAAAGGAATGTGTTAAGCAGAGCAAAGCTTGAATATAAAATCATTAGCATAGCAGCAAAGGAAAATAATTGAAAAAATCTTTCTGATCAAGTATGTAGAATCTTTGGCCTTATATTCCAATTGGGAATAGTTAATTACCTAACCAAGGGTCAATCTCCTAGGACCATGGGCTCACCATAAACCATATTAGAGCTATAGGAAGAATAATTATTATTGTAATGGGAATACTTTAATTTCCTCTCCAGATTCCCCTCCTCCAAGCACAGCATAGGCAGGAGGATCCACCAGGAGGCCTAAAAGGAAAGGAAAGGACATAACTGCTCCTACTTGTCGTGGAGGAGCAAGTTTATTGTAGGTAAAAATGAAGAGCGTTGCCAGAGACAGAAACATCTGAGGAAGTCCAGATGGATGTGAGCCATGTTAACAGAAGTGAGGGGAAAGAGAGAGTGAAGCCGTGGGAACCAGGTGCAGCAGAAGCCAAGAGGACAAGGCACAAAAAAGGCAGGTAAAGTGATACTGGATACTGAAGACCCTGGTCCTATCTTTTATACTCTTCTAGTGCTGGAAATAAAGGCGTGTGATACTGGGTACTGAGATCATCTTTGTGTGAGCTATTTCTCTTTAGGACTGGATCAACCTTGTGTAGATCTGGATGGCCTTGTATTCACAGATATCGATCTACTTCTTAATCATGAGTTTTAGGATTAAATGTGTGTAACACCACTTCCTAGTTTCCAGCTACCTGATCTCTACAGCTTGTGGCTGACTTTGCTTTCTGAATTTTCAGGTAAGATTTAATAACTCGTAAATAATATATCACAACAACCCAAGTCTTCTCCTAAGTACTCAGCTTTTAACCATACTTAGGCACAAACCCAGCTTGTGGTGGACCTGTTGGTCACCCTAGCCTACAGTCTATAAAGTCTTTCTGACTTCATTTGATGGTCTGATTCCTGTGGCTCCAATCTCTGGACCAGAGGATCTGCCTAGGTGTTGCATTTTTCAAATATACATGTTATACTTCTACAATTTGGATTGGTCTGGCTTATAGCATTGGCAGAGAAACTTATTATGGAGGGGGGCACCAATTAGTTGTAATTTGGAGGAAACTGCTTTATAATAC